TATAGCACAAATTCCAGGTTTGGTTTTGATTAGAACTTTTACTATTACCTCCGTCCTTAAGAGGTAAATGAGCAGATCATGTTTATAACATCTTGTTTACAAGTCCTTCCAATAATCTCTGGAGGTGGCAGAGAAAGGATCTGCTCTCACTCACTTTACATATCCATCTTTTGAGAAAATAACAACAAACTTTGCATGTGAGCTGTGCTGCTGGTGCATGCTGGAAGAAGCCCTGTCTGCTCATTTATTCAAAGTGCAAAGTAGAATCTCTGGAAGGAAACACTCTTGGTTTACTTCCAATATGAGTCTGTTTTTAGAAATCTGAATAAACAAACAGCCAGGCACTCAATACTTTACCCAAAGTGCAGCAGAGATAACAAACTGATATGCTGGTTCATTATTTCCCCCTTAAAAAACATGATGTGGCATGTGACTTATCCATACACTGGATAAGTAAAATAAGAGCAAATCCCAGAGGTGTTGTGTGCACACATTTTTGTTTAACTGCTATAATGCAAGCCTAGCCAAAGACTGCATGGGCATCATGATAATTCTAGATGTATCATTTGGTCTAAAATCTAAACTATCTTTTTTTTTTTTTTTAAATCTTTCTTTACAAGCCAGGCAAAACACGTGAGAAGGGACAAGATTAGGTACAATTTACACAGTATCGAGTGCATGCCTATCATACGGTCCGCAGTTTGGTGCGGGCTTGAGGCTTTTTTAAAACAGGATAAAACAGCGTAAGATAGCAGTGTAGCTAATAGCGCAACTCACTCAAATGGACGCCACTGTGGTACAAGCAATTAAGTATGTAGAGCTAAGGTTGCCTGAGGTAGGTGAATCAATCGCCATCTGAACCAGACTATGATCGGACCAGGTGGATATGCCTATGCGGGTGGATTGCAGGTGGCAAAGGTGCTCTTGCTGGAGAAACAAAATCAATCCTCGAATATCTAGAATGGGTCACCGAGAAGTGGGTATAGTTCCTGCCCACGGGGTGTTTCGTTCTCAAACAGTCGATGAGGTGCAGGGCTAGGAGGGATTTGTGTTAGCTCCTAATGGCGCTCTGGGGTATGCAGCTATGTCCAGAGGAGGAGTCTATTGTGGGGTTGAGGGGCACATTAAAGTCCCCTTCAAGGAGAAGCATACCTTCCGGGAAAGTAGATAGTGTGTTGCGGATGAACTGTGATTGGTTGCGATTCGGGGCGTATATGGTTGCTAGGGTGTAGCGACTCTATGGCATCCCGTGACCCCTCCCTCCCAAGACAATGGTGCCCCGAGTTTGGTGATAGGTGGGTCTGGCTTGGTTGGGTGAGATGTTTAGGCCTGTATGTCCAAAGTGGGGCAACCTCCCCAGTGTCACATCTCCATGTTCGGCCGTGGGCTTAAGTGCTAGGGCTGGGCCAGCCGGGGGGTGGGTGATCGTGGCGGAGTGCACCAGTTGGTGCGGGTCAGATCGGCAAGGCATTTTCAGAGGGTTCCCCCGGTGTCCATTCCCTAATGTCCCTGGGGGGCTGTATCACCATGTTGGGCCGTGAGCTGTGGTCTCTGACGTACCTGATCTCCGAGTTGAGCGGGGGTCCCGATGCCCGGGCCCCCACGGTGTGAGTTGAACTCGCGGGAGCAGGCGCCGTCATTGCCAGACGTGGACCGGCGTCTAGCCATCATGGGCTGTGTTGTCGGAGTGGTGGTCTCGCTGGAGAGCACCAGCGGTGGCGGCGGGATGTTTGCGGCCGTTCTGGGCGGGCATCCAAGGGGGTCCAGAACCCAGTTTGTTACTTGAATTGGGCGCAGTTCCAGTTTCTGAAGAAAAGCCGGTACTTCCTCGGGCCACTTGTAGGGGATATTCTTATCCCAAGGTGCCTGGGTGATGGGCCTCAGAGCCCTGCAGGCCTCCAGCGTCAAGCACGAGAGGTCGTTGTATATGGACACTTCTGTTTCTTGAAAGCTCCATGTGGGACAGGACCTCGCCTTTCTCATTATCGTCTCCTTGAGATTATAGGAGTGGAGATAGCAAATTAGGTCTCGTGGTGCTCGTTCGGGTATGCATTGCTCTGTGCGCCCTGTCAAACCGGATCTGATCTGAGCCTCCGTCTCCAAGTATCAGATGGAACAGCGCTGTGAGGAGGCCTTCCACATCTTCCTCGCCCTGAGGTTCAGGTACCCCGCGTATTCTGATGTTGGAGCGCCTGCTTCTATTATCTAGTTCCTCAGTCTTCTCCTGAGGGTTAGGAGCATTGCCCCCTGTCAGGCGAGGGCTGTGTCTGTGGCCCTGGTTTAATCAGGGGAGGCCTAGTTTGATCAGCGGGGTCACGGCATCTGATCGGAGTGCCGTCACTGCGGTAGCAATGGAGTCATGTAGTTTAGTGGTAAGAATTTGTAGGTCGTGTTTTGTGATCATCGCTGCTGTGAGTCTCCTGAGGTCTGAATTGATGCCTGCTAGTGTCGGGCCTCCTGCATCCGAGGACACAGATGAGGTTGGGGAGGAGGGCGCCATCTTGGCTCTGTGTGCTGCCTGCGAGGGTCCCGCCGGGGTCTGTACGTAGCTGTCCGTCGGGCCGTTGCCGCCCCTGGGTGTTTGGGGCACATAAGGGCGTTTAGATGCGAACCATTTGGTGCAGTTTGTGCTGAAGAGGTACGCTTATTGGAGCTATGTGGCCTGGAGCTCTTCAGTTAGGTGGCCATCACGGCAAGTAATATATAAAATTATTTTGATGACAAACCTCTTTTGCTAAAGTTGTTATGGTGCACCATAGAGAATTTAATTTCATCTATACATTTTGCTAGCAGACTTATTTGCAAATGTGTAGGTTTCTCTAAAATTAGAGGTTAAAAAACAGCCCTTTCACCCCTCTTCTGAGTCCATTCAGTCTGTACCAATCAGCACAGAGATAATCGGGCTGTGCTCTGTATGTTTAACAAAAAAAACCCTACCCTGGGCATCTTTCCTGCTTTAACCCCTTAAAACCGGACGACGTACTATTATGCCCTATTCTAAGCGTCTCTAAACGCCGCAGGGTGTAATAGTACGCCCTCCGTTTTTTTGTTACTTACCCGGTCACGGGGTAATATTTTTACATAATTAGGTATCTTAATTAATAACAATTAGCGGGACCTGCCTGACAACCCATGCCGAAAGTAAAGGGAATTTAATTTGCTAGAACTATATTTAACCCTATAACTTTCCAAGACACCATAAAACCTGTACATGGGGGGTACTGTTTTACTTGGGAGACTTCACTGAACACAAATATTAGTGTTTCAAAACAGTAAAATGTATTACAACGATGATATCGCCAGTAAAAGTGAAGTTTTTTGAATTTTTCACGCACAAACAGCACTTACACGGACGATATTATTGCTGTGATACTTTTTACTATTTTGAAACACAAATATTTGGTGTTTTCAAAAGTTACAGCGTCAAATATAAGGCTTGTGTTTCATTTTTTTCACATTAAAATTCACCAGATTGGTTATGTTGCCTTTGAGAACCTATGGTAGCCCAAGAATGAAAATTATCCCTATGATGGCATACCATTTGCAATAGTAGACAACCCAAGGTATTGCAAATGGGGTATGTCCAGTCTTTTTAAGTAGCCACTTAGTCACAAACACTGGCCAAAATTGATGAGTAAAAATCAGCTTGAGAACTGAGCGGGGACCGACCCAAGGACAGGCTATTTCAGCTGCTGCTCGTTCTCAGTATTCTCTTGCGACCCATTTTTGACTCTCCAGTATTATGACATTGACAGTTAAAATGTCATGTAGAACAAAAAAAAAATTTTTTTTTATTATTTTCTCCCATATTTTTTTTCAAATTAAATTATGTTTCATAGCTAAATATTTGATATTAAATGAAAGCCCTTGCCGCGCGTGCGCATTCAGCCGATGAAGAGGAGGAGAGCTCTCCGCCCAGCGCTGGAAAAAGGTAAGTTTTAACCCCTTTCCCCCTTCCAGAGCCGGGCGGGAGGGGGTCCCTGAGGGTGGGGGCACCCTCAGGGCACTATAGTGCCAGGAAAACGAATATGTTTTCCTGGCACTATAGTGGTCCTTTAATTACTGTCAGAAGGCCTATTTCTGAAGTATGACATTTTTCTTTGCAATTTAATTGAAAACTGCAGTTGAAATACAAAGTGATACCTTTGATTTGACAAGATGTTGGCAATATCTGGTTTCTTTGGATCCTGTTATAATACTGATTAACAAGAAACCACGCTTTTGATAATGCTCTCTTCATTAACTAACCAGCCCCCTGCATTGTTAGTACAAATCTGTCAGAGCAGCCATGTGCAGTGACTTAAAAGCGGCCCTCATTAAAACCTTGAACACTGCAAAATTAATGTGCATTTGCTCTTTCTATTTCTAACAAGTCTTTTGTACTTTTGCTTTTAAATGAATATGGTGAAGGAGGTTGGGGGGGGGGAGGGAGTAGTAAGTTTAGTTGTCAAAAGTAGAGAAAGCTATTACACAACAGTCAGCCACATAGTTCTCGACAACAGTCAGCCACACAGCCATTACACAACAGTTAGCCACATAGCTATATTCATTGTGGCATAAAGGAATGTGGGAATTTAGTGTTGGAATAATTAAACAGGATTGTTTGGTTTTACTGCATTTATAGCCCATCTTTGATTATGTTTAAATGCATATTTAAAAGTGTGGAACAAGAGGCACCCATACAACATTGACAATGCAAGTGAAAAAACACACATACAATATACCAAGTATTTTTATGTTTATTATAACACAAATAACTACTCCACTTTCGTTTTTTTTAATAAAATATATTTTTTGTAACCATATTGTTCTGTAATCAAAAATATGTTAATAGATAATAATAATAACAAAGTATTTAATCAGGAAAGGTACATTCAGATTACTCTTGTTTTCAAGCACGTCCTGGGGACGTTACCATAGCCCAACATCCAGGGGTTGTTTATATTACCCAATTTAATGGTACTCACAGATAAGATTAGTCTTTGTCCCTTTTCTTCTTCATTAATCTCATTAATTTCAACAACAGACAATTTAAATGTTATGAACCCAAGCTGCCTTTAGGTATGTACTGTTGAATTAAATTATATTTTTTTAGGTATTTCACGTATTTTACATTATTACCCTTAGGGCTACATGACACTGAACATCAACATTGATTATTTTATCCTATATTTTGTTCTCAGACCATTACATCTTACTATATACAGTTGTAGTCAAAATTATTCAACCCTGTAGCGGAGCTCCTATATCCTGGCTGTATATCTGCGCTGGAATTCCTTCATGGCTGTAAGAAGCGCTGGTTAGTGATTATAGCCTCTCTTTCTCCAGTTATCATTATGACACATGATACTAGGAGAACTTCTTTTATTGAGAACTATGCAGTTTTTTATACGCAGACCATTCAATGTATACCTGCCCTGCTGTCTCTGTGTCTTGTAGAGGATTGCGACATCCACCACTTAAACTAATTATCTCCTAGACACAGAGCGTAAAATACAAAATAACCCCCAAAACAACAATAAAACAAACCTGAACCCCCACACATCATTTACCTACAGATAGGTCTGATCCAAGCGCCTGTTCTGGGAAAATAGTGCCCGGATCCATGGGGAATTGACAAAACATTGACAAATGTTTTGACCAGCCACTACAAAAGTCCTGGCTGAAATTAGTTCCATAGCATTAGTGCCAATTGCCGGTCAACTAACAGAAGCTTCTGTTGAAAAAGGGGTCTCCCCCTGGCTCTCAGGGAGTGATTGTCCAGAATAGTCTCCTGTACCTCCCTCAGGAAAGTAGATGAAATTAGTGGGTAAATTGGACCGGGTAACGGTTCGAACTGTGGCTAAGCCGGAGTTCCAGAAGAATATGGCTAAAGTCCTGGCAGCTTACTCTGGCTCCCCCAAATCATCAGCAGACAAGGTGAAAAGTAGCACTTTGTGGAATTAACATGGAGGGGCATGAAGGAAAAGCCAGGGTTAGTGAATTAGTCTTTTGGGGTAGTTTTAAGTGGATTTAGCAGGAATGGCCACAAACCCCCTTTTAAAATCAAGTTTATTGTGAAAATGTAATGAACAAATAAAACAAAAGCAATTGAAATAGTTCAACACAACCTTCCTTTAGTGGTTTCCAAATTCAACTTTAACAGAGAGACTCAAATCTCAACCAAATGCTGCTTCTAGATCAGTATTTGATTGGTGCAGTGCGGCGACTTGCCACACATCTTTACTAACCTCCCAATGCTTCTCTAGAGAGAAGCATTGGATTGGCTGAAAACATCAATCTTGAAAACTCTCATTTCAAATCCTCAGAGGCAATGTGAGGTTAGGGCTCCTAAATAGGGGATAGAATTGGCAATATATTTGTACACTGTTCCTTGAAATAGGGAACCCATTCTATTTATATTATGAACAAAATGTAGATTTTTTTTTTTTTAAATACAAAGTACTTACATAAAACTGTCTTACTAATTTGCAAACTTTTTGTAGCTCCCTTTTACCTGCAATGCCTACAAAATAAAAACAAAAGGTAGCCGTAAAAAAATATAAATAGCCTGTTCTGTGCTCCTCCCTTTTACCCTAGGTATCTTTTATAGAGTTGCTAAAGGTTCTGGGCACAATTACACACACTACCAGTGGATTCCTTTGAGATGATAGTAAAATATTATAGGAGAATTGCATGTGTGTGAGAACCATATTTCCTGGTCAGTGTACCCTTATTATATTTCATTTACATTCTGCTTTTAACCATTTATGCAGAAAAGTAGAAAAAAATATATATTTATTTTACAGTTGTCTACATTTTGCATATAAATAAGTGTTTACCCCAAACTGCAACTTAAAGAAGTATTTTACACAACTGCAGCTGTTTGTAAAACATGGATGGATTCTACTGATATGACAGTCTTTCACCGGATTAGACATTTACTTGCTATTCTCTGGTGGGGAGATGCATCAGTTAATGCCACAGGGCTAATTTGTGTTATGATATGCAGGAAAAAGTACCTTAACCTTATATTTCTTTGATGCGAAGTCCAATATGAGTGCTATTTTACATATTTTTGATTTATCCACAAAATGTCTGGCATTTAATATCAAAAACTGTCACTTAAATGTCCTTATTGTATCTGTCACAGAATTCAGGTGATGAGACTAATCAATATTTGCCTTGCTTTCAGTCTGTGATAAGAGTATATTCCAAGTCTAAGCTCATGTGTTAAGAGTATGCTGTCTTACAAGTCACACAGATTTAATTGACTTGAAATCCTTATATAAAAAAATGTTGTTTAAAGTATGTGTTCAGTGCCATTTTATTTATTTTATACTCTGTTAATAACCCATAGAAATGTGGTTTTGACTTTTTAGCAATCCAGCAATGTTTCATATAACTGCAACCTTCTTTCAGTGAATAATGTAGAGCAAATTGAGGCAGACACAGATAAGCAGCCTTGTGTCCTACAAATATGAACACTCTAATATTATATTTATGCGCATTAAATATATG